CCAGGACCCGGTTTTCCTCCCGAGTCGTTTTCTGACGGTCCCGAGCCCCGGGAAGGGCCACTGGAGGCCGAAAACAGCGAAACACCTCCCGTCGCAATTTTTTCACAACGCGAGGGTGTCTCGGTTCCTTTCATGCCGATGGGCGGGGCCGGCCTGGCACATGCTGCACGGCGGCAGCGGCCGGAACCCGTTCGCCATGGTGTCGAAGTGGTAATACCTGCGCTCGGCCTCGGGGCGCGGCAGCGACTCCGCCAGCACCTCGGGCGCTCGTCGAGTTTCGAGGGGGCTTGGGCTCGAGGCTCGAGGTTCGAGGACAACGAAAAGAATACCGATACTAACAATACGAATAAGAACATCAACACGAGTAACAACAGTGATATAATACAAATAATAATACGACGAGTAATAACAATGCTACTCCTACTAGTATTATTACTACTACTACTATTACTACTACTATTGATATTACTACCATCACTACTACTACTACTACTACTACTACTACTACTACTACTACTACTACTACTACTACTTCCACCATTACTCGTACTATTCCTATTACTATTACACCACAACCACCACCACCAGCAACAATAACAACAACAACACCAACTACTACTACGACTACGATTACTCTACTACTACTACTACCACCACTACTACTACTACTACTACTACTACTACTACTACTACTACTGCTACTACTACGACGACGACGACGACGGCGACGACGACGACTACTACGACTACTACGACTACTACGACTACTACGACTACTACGACTACTACGACTACTACGACTACTACGACTACTACGACTACTACGGCTACGACTACTACGACTACGACTACGACTACGACTACGACGACTGCTACTACTACTACTACTACTACTACTACTACTACTACTACTAATACTACTACTACTACTACTCCTCCTACTCCTGCTCCTGCTCCTGCTCCTACTCCTACTCCTACTCCTACTCCTACTCCTACTCCTACTCCTACTCCTACTCCTACTACTCCTACTCCTACTCCTACTCCTACTCCTACTCCTCCTACTCCTACTCCTACTCCTACTCCTACTACTACTACTACTACTACTACTACTACTACTACTACTACTACTACTACTACTACTACAACGACTACTACGACGACGACGACGACGACGACGACGACGACGACGACGACGACGACGACGACGACGACGACGACGACGACGACGACGACGACGACGACGACGACGACGACGACGACGACGACGACGACGACGACGACGACGACGACGACGACGACGACGACGACGACGACGACGACGACGACGACGACGACGACGACGACGACGACGACTACTACTACTACTACTACTACTACTACTACTACCACTACCACTCCTACGACTGCTACTAATGATAGTAAAAATAACTAAGAGACATATAATAATGTCAATGTTACTAGTAGTAGTCTGAATCGTAGTAATAGCGAAAAAGAGTAATATGGGTAATGACCCAAATAATGCGAACAATATGAAGAGGAGTAATACTGCAAAGAAAAAGAGAAGGTCATGTTCGAGGTTTTGTAACGTTTCTGGCCCTCCAGGAGGCTCCTTGTGGCTATGGCTGGCCAGGGACAGGTCCAGAGGCCGACTCGTGATCCCCGGGCACGTGCCTCCTCGCGTCGGGAGAAGTCACGACGGACTGTGTGCAATTTAACTTTCGGCCTGGGGGCCCTTGCGAGTTTCCAGAGCCGTGACGAAGCAGCTCAGGATGAACCGCCCGTCCGGGGGGAAGGGGTCTGGACCTTCAGGGGCTGCGCACAAAACGCGACGTCGGAGGGCTCTGGGGATGGAGGAAATGGCCTCTCTTGTGGCTCACGGCTCGCAGGTACTCAGGCAGGCAAGGGCGCTCGGCAAGAAACCATGCTGTCTGGCTATCCGTTGGCTGCTGCACTGCTGCTGACGCCGGGAGTCGGGCACCAGAGCCCGCCCGCACACAAGGGATGGACTTAAGGGGCCCCCGCTGCGGCGCCCCAAGGGGTGTTCGCAGTCGGTCCCGAGCCCGCTCTGCTCCTCCCTCCCCCCTTCCCCCACCTCCATCTCCAGGGAGTAGGAGGGGGAGACGAGGAGGAGGAGGAGAAGGAGGAGGAGGAGGAGGAGGAGGAGGAGGAGGAGAAGGCGGTGGAGGAGGAGGAGGAGGAGGAGGAGGAGGAGGAGGAGGAGGAGGAGGAGGAGGAAGAGAAGGAGGAGGAGGAGGGGGAATCTTTTTTGACATGAACTACGGGGCTGGGAATCCTGCAACCTCCGGATGCTCGATGAACGCCAGGAAGATGCAAACGACCACCGATAACTGCCCCGACACTCAACTACAGGAGGCACGCCGGTCTCGTCCATGAGCAATGCACGCAGCGCAGATACGGGGACCGGAGGTGAGGGCGAGCACTCGGCGCACTGCGGGGCCACGGGCCCAGCGGAGCGGAATGGGGGACGGACCAGCTGCTTCCGCCGACACGCGATGCCTTGCCTCCGCCTGCTTGGCCGCCAGAGAGCTGTTGCTTCAGCCTCTTCGTGGCTCACGGGATGGCTCGGCAGTGGTTGAAGGGGCCCCAGGACACACAAATAAATACACACACAAATAAACACATTCCCCATATTTTCCTATATTTTCTGGGTTTCTGTCTTCCCCCCCACTTCCCATATTTTCCCATATTTTCTGGGGATCGACGATTAATTGTGTCTGTGTGCTTCTTTTCCTCTTGAGATTTTTCACAGCGCCGACCCCCAGAGGTCTCGACCCATTCTCCGGGACCGGTTTTTCACCCTGAATCGCCTTTTGGCGGCCCCAAGGCCCGGGAAGGGCCCCCGAAGGCCGAAGATTCGCCAGCCCACCGGGCCGGAGGCATGCTAAGATCGCCGGTAACTGCTCAACAGTCTATTCTAGTTCGCGCGCGCGGGGCGGCCTCTGGGGGCTCCCGGACGGAAAGTACCCCGAGCAGGTCCCGGCCAGTGCGGCTCGGAGATGGTTTTCCTCCCCGGCGCTGCCTTCCAGGCCTCCCAAAGTACTCCAGGAACGCGCCAAGAAGGCTCCGAGACGCCTCCGAGACGGTCCAAGGGGCCCCGAGTCGCCGAAAGATTGCTCCAAGACGCCCATGCTGGTCTCCAGACGGCCCTAGACGCCGCCGAGAAGCTCCAGGAGAGCCTCAAGAGGTCTGCCTAGAGGGCCCAACAAGCAAAATTCGTCCCATTTCATAGGAAAACGTAGATTTCTGGCATGGACGACGTTCGAAGGTTCACAGCGTCCAAGACTGCCCAAGAGCCCCCCCAAGATGGCCCAACATGCCCCCAAGATGCGCCCAAGAGGGCTCCAAGATGACCCAAGAGGGCTGCTCCAAGACGCCCATGCTGGTCTCCAGACGGCCCTAAACGCCGCTGAGAAGCCCCAAGAGAGCCTCAAGAGGCCCTCCAAGAGGACCCCAACAAGAGAACATATCGTCTCATTTCCGGTGGGAAACGTGCATTTCTGGCATAGAGGACGTCCAGAGGTTCACAGCGTCCAAGACTACCCAAGAGCCCCCCAAGATCGCTCCCAAATAGCCCAACATGCCCCCAAGATGCGTCCAAGAGGGCCCAAGAGGGCTCCAAGACGGCCCCAGATAGGGAACTCGAAATGTCATTTGAAGCTTTCCGACCCCAGGGGCCCCACCGAGACCGCCAGCAGGCTCCCAAGAAGCACACAGAGGTCCCAAGAAGCCCCCGGGAGGCCCCAAATCAGCCCCCCAGGGCACCCAAACGACCCTGACGAGGCCTCATAAAGCTTCAAAACTGCGTCCAAAAGGCTTCTGCGACACCTGCCAGGAGACTCCAACACTGCCGCATCAAATGTCCCCTGCGCTCCATCGACAAGCCCCAGAGTAAGCATCCACGACCAGCAAACCCCCGCGAAGGCACCCGAAGTCCAACAAAGCACCACACAACTAGCCGCCCCGCGAAAAGCGACCGATTCCTCTGACAACTCCCATGGAATCCACACGAATCGCCCCAGCATCATGCCCCACGCAACGCCTCAGAAAACCCGCACGCGCGGTGTACCTGAGGGGAAACCTGGAGCACCCTGATCGCAGCAGCTTCTTCAACGGCTGCGGAAAGTCACCGCGCAACGCGCGGAGCGAAGAAACCCAGGATACCCTGACGAAAATCATCTGGTTTCTTGATGCGCGCCCCACTGTAGGTAGAAACATGAAGTAGGAAGGCGTTGGAAGTAAGTTGGGTTTCCTCGCCCGACTCTGGAAGATTTGGACGCCCGAAATGGGTACGGAAAAAATGGGTACAATGCCCAACAACAAATGTTGTCCCAAACCAACAGCGGCCGGCGGCCTTCTGTCGCAAATGGACACAGGCCGCGGCGGCGCGGACAGCGAGTCCTGTTCAAAATGAACAGGAACTGCTGTTGGGTATTGTACCCATTCTTTCCGTACCCACTTCGGGCGTCCAGAGAAGAGGAGGGAAGAGGGCAAACCACTCGACCCTTGACGCAGGAAGGCGGCCAGAGTAGATTGGCATCTCTGGGTCTCCCCAACATGCCTGCTCTCAACGGCCGAGGAGCCTGTGGACGAGGACCAGGAGCAGGAGAGCTCATAATCGAATCGATAAGTCGGATCGGCGATCGAAATGAATCAGATCGGCGGAAATCGGCAGCCAAGTCGGGAAAAGTCGAATCGGCCGAAAGCGGCAGAGCAGTAATGCCTCATTGATTGAAATCGGAATCCCCATCGGAATCCAGAGTCGGATCGAATCGAAGTCGGAATCCATCGAAATCGAATTTCATCGAATCGGAGGAATCGAAACGATCCCTGCCAGGAGGAGGCAGGAGGAGGAGGAGGAGGAGGAGGAGGAGGAGGAGGAGGAGGAGGGGGAGGAGGGGGGGGAGGAGGAGGAGGAGGAGGAGGAGGAGGAGGAGAGGAGGAGGAGGAGGAGGAGGAGGAGGAGGAGGAGGAGGAGGAGGAGGAGGAGGAGGAGGAGGAGGAGGAGGTGGACGAGGACCCGGAGCAGCCCTCTTTCGGGAGGCGCCGGCGCATGGGGTCTGACGCGGGTCCCTTCTGGGACGAGCCGCCCACGGCGTGCGGGCGCGGCGCGCGGCCGGGGGACATGGAGCCCGCCGCGGCGTCGGGGCGGGTGCGATGCACGAGGGCGAGTTTGTGAGGAGTCCGCTGCTGCAGTGCTCGAAATCCCTTAATATTGAGGGATGGAAAATCGACCCTACCCTGGGTTACAAGTGCGTGGTCTGTAAACCTCCTGGGACCCCCCAAAGCCTAGAGCCGCCAGGACGCGGCACATCACGCAGGGTTTACCCTGTCAGCCCACAGGAGTTTCAGTGCACAGCGCCTCGTAAACCAGGGTAGGGGCGTTTTTTATGGTCTTGATAATAATCGTCCTCCGGGTCCGGATTGTGAAGGCGCTTTTTTTGGAAGCGGGGGGGTCCGGTTTATCGGGGCGGTTCCTTTCCACCGAAGGCGAGGGGGGCGGGAATATGTTAAGGCCCCCCGTGGACAAAGGGGTCCGGAAAGTTAGGTTGCCGTTGAAGGGGGGGTCCGGATTTTTAGGGGGGGGTCGATTGTTAAGGGATTTCGAGTAGGCGCCCAACCACAAGAAACATTCCACAAGAAACCCAACCCTGAGACCCCAGGACGTCGATCGATTTTTGATGCGGGAGCGTCGCGCTCTCCACAGCAGAACCATCCCAACCCAGGAAACCCAGGGCACCCTGGAGGCAAGCAGGGTGTTTCTTGGCATGGGCCTCAGCTGTAAGCTTCTTGTGAGGGTCGCACAAGGGGGAGCGCGCGCATGAAACAGGCGTCCGCAACTCAGAGGTAGAGCGACGCGGAGAAGATGATCCCGCGCTTCAGCCGGGCCCTGCCCTCTGTGAGCTTCTTCTCGAGCTCCTGATTTCCGATTATTTTTGCCGCCGTGGCAAGCTCGCGCACGACCTCCTCCAGGCGACGAATCACCCGGACCACGCTGCCCTCGTAGAGGTTACACTGGTTCATGATCTCGGAGAACCGCTTCCCCTCGAGCCACGATATGACGACATCCATCAGCTGCGGCTTGACCTTGCCGATGTACTCCTCAACATCGATTGGGAGCTTGTTTTCGACCATGATCTCTGCCACGTTGCGGGCTATGCCTTTGACAGTTTCGTAGGCCTTCATCAGCTCTGGCCTGCTGGTGATTGGATCTTCTGATTTTCGAGGAGCAGAGCACGACACGAGCATGAACTCTCGGAGATCCGCTCGGATCTCTTGGGACGGCGCTGGAACTCCCCCACCCCCACTTGTCGGGGCGCGCCTGGGGGCCGACCCAAGAGATCCGCGTGGGCATCGGACAGTTCGTGGCTGTGCAGTTTTCTGCCCTTCGGGATTTCTCATCGAACACGAGGCAGGAGCACAGGGCGATAATGTTGTTGGCCTCCATGTCGGCAAACACGTTGTTGAATACAATCTCGGTCATGAGCACCTCGTCGGCGGACGTGAGCTCGCAGGCCATCCGACCCTTGAGCAAGACCACACCGTCTTTGTCTATGAACTCGAGCCTCCGGAGCAATCGACGCATGGCGCGAAGGTCATCGCTCATAACCATGAATCTGGCGCTCTTGATCTGCTTGTCCAGATCCTGCACGTCGCTGTGCAGCTTGACCTTCCGGCCGAAGGCCTCCAGATAGGCTGCGAGACTAGGCTGGCTGTGAAGGGGACTCTCGGCTAATCTCCGCTCGAGGCTGGCGATCTTGTCGGGTGCACCCGCCAAGACCTCCTGCCCAAGGTTCATCTCCGACACCGGGTCCAGCTCTGGGATGCCAGCCTTGAACTTCTTGTGGGCCTTGATCGTGGCCAGCGTCTTGAGCAGCGCCCGGCGGGAGTCCTCCGCCGTGGGGTCGCTGCTGGGCATGTTGGAGCGGATCTTGCTTATCCTGTGCACCAGCTGGAGGGCCATGGGCAGAATGCGGCCCTCCGGCTTCGCCGTCGAGCCGACCGCGGGAGGGCACGGCCTCTCCGTCTCGGGCAGGCCAGCCCGGCAGGGCAGGAACACGTCCACCACCCACTGGGGCTCGCTGACCTGCTCGGCGCCGTCGGGCCCCGCCTCGCCCCGGATCACCTTCTTGGAGGCCGCGACCAAGATGCCCCAGCCCCAGTCCACCTTGCCGTCCCTCATGTAGAGGAGGCGGCCCGGGTTCAGGAACGGGGTGATGGACTCGGGTCGGACGATGATTTGGCGCAGCTCCTCCCTGGCCCTCTCCAGCTCCTTGGTCATGTAGTAGTAGTCGGCGACGATCTCGTCCACGTTGAAGCTGTACTGGGTCTCGTCGCCCACCGCCGCGCGGATGTCTTCTACCTTGGCCAGCTCCGTCTCCATGTCCCGCTTCTGGTCCTGGATCTCCAGCACGGCCCGGTCCTTCTGGAACTGGTGGAAGCTTCGCTGTATCATGTAGTCTGGATCTGCGCCCTCCAGGCGCAGAAGGTTGATGAGCATGTTGTACCCGAGGTGGAAGGCGCTGGAAATCTTCGTCGCCTCCCCGAGGAACATGCCCTTCGCCACCTCTGGCTCTACCTTCTCGTCCATCATAATGATCGAGAGCCCGCGGTCGTCCTTGCCGCGCCGGCCTGCGCGACCGGCCATCTGGATGTACTCGCCCGAGAGAAGGATACGGTACTCGATACCATCCCACTTCCTCGTGTTTGTGAACACCACCGTCTTGGCAGGCATGTTGATTCCCATGGCGAAGGTCTCCGTGGAGAACAGGACCTTGATGAGAGACTCCTGGAACAGGATTTCCACCACCTCCTTCAGCAGTGGGAGCAGCCCGCCATGGTGGATCCCGAGCCCGCGTCGGAGCAGCGGCAACATGCTCTGGATCTGGGGCAACTCCCGGTCTTCGTCGCTCAGCGTCATGAGAGCGTTGTTGAACACCTCATCAACCAAACGCTTCTCGTCGTCGTCAGTGACGTCCAACTTCTTCAGCGCTACCGCGTTGGCCTCGCACTCCTTCCGGCTGAAGGAGAAGACGATCAGAGGGAGGTAGCCCCTATCGCTGCACATGCGCACGACCTTGTCCAGATCGCCGACCTTGCTTTTGCTCTTGTTCTTCTGGGCCTTCTTCGTGTCGACCATGGTGGAGTCGGTCGTCTTCTGAAGCGCCGACACTGCTTTGTGGAAATTCTCCTCCTTGAACTGGCTCTTCTCATCAACCACCATATACACTCCCTCGCCGCCGGCAGGGAAGAGGTAGTGCTGGAGCGGCACTGGCCTCTTGTCGGTGTAAATGACGTGGCAACACTGGTGCTTGATCCGGCAGATCCACTCGGCGAACTCGCGGGAGTTCGGGATGGTGGCCGACAAGAAGACGAGCCGCACAGTGTCGGGGAGCAAGATCATGGTCTCCTCCCACACCACTCCTCGGTCGCGGTCCCGCATGTAGTGGACCTCGTCGAACACAACCCACGCTACTTCGCGTACCACCTCAGATCCGCGGTAGAGCATCGAGCGCAAGATCTCAGTCGTCATGATCATGCACGTCGCGTTCGGATTGATCGTGACGTCGCCGGTCATCAGGCCCACGTCCTTGAACTCGTCCTGCAGGTCGCGGTACTTCTGGTTGCTCAGAGCCTTGATGGGAGAGGTGTATATGAGCCTCTGCTTGTCCCGCAAGGCCATCGAGAGGGCGTACTCGGCCACAGCCGTCTTCCCCGCCGACGTGTGCGCGGAGACCAGCACCGACTCGTTCCGCTCGAGGCAGGTCACCGCCTCCTGCTGGAACTTGTCCAGGGTGAAGCCGTACTCCCGGGCCGGCTTCTTCTCGGCGGCGCTCGCGGCCCTCTTCGCTGCGTTCGCCACGTCGTCCGCAGGTCTGACCACCTCGTGGGTGCAGCCGCTCACGTCGAGCTTCTCGTACACGAGCTCGGTGGTGAGGTTGGTCGGCGGCAGCGCGCCGTCGCCAGTGACCTCCGCAGTGGGCCCCAGGGCCTCGGGCCCCTCCTGCTTCGCCTTCTTGACGGGCACCTCGGGGCCCTTGGCGGGCGCGCGCGCACCCGCGGAGCGCGGCCGCTTGGAGCCCTCCTTCCTCTCGGGGACGTCTGCTTTGCCAGGGGGCTGAGCTGGCAGGGCTTCGGGTCGCGCGCAGGCAGCCCCAAGAGGCAGTCGAGTTCACGAGACGCGAAGCACAGCACAGGAGCCACCCTTGATCTGGAAGGGTCGACCTACTAAGTAGACCCGACGGTAGTCCCAGCTGGCCTCGGCATGTCCGCCGGGGCGGTCTCAACACCCCGACCCTTGGGCGCGGAGCGCACGAAGGGCGCCGCCAGATGCGGCGCCGGGGCGTTGGGATCGCTCAGGCTACTCGGGGGGCCTGCTGAGGCTGGCCGAGACTACCTCTCGGGGCCGCCTGTGCGCAGCTCTAAGCCTTGCCACACTGCGCCTTGGCGGGGGACTGCGCCTTCGTGCCAGTGGAGAGTCCTGCCGCCAGGGTCTCGATGTCCGCGTAGCTGTGCGAGGCCTCGGAGAAGACGGCGAACAAGTCGTCCATCGGGCCCTCAGGCGCTGGTCCGCCGTCCGCCCCGCGACGGCTCCAGCCACGCTCCCAGAGCCCAAACAACTGGAGCCCAAATATTTATTTGCGGAAGCGAGCCCGCAGATGCTCGCGCCGTGAAGCGTAACGACGGGAATCTTTTGGCTGCGTTCGGCCTCCAGAAAGACCGTCGCCTGGCTCCGCGGCGCCCATAAAAACACTCGGGATGAAAAAGCCGGCCCCGGGGAGAGGGCCGGGACTTCCCGGGACCCCGCCTGGAGAGACGCAGGACACCTCGCACGCCTGGGAAGGACGCGGAGGCGACGTCTTGGAGCCGTCGCCTGCGGGCCCCCTGGCCCCGCAAATCGGGCCCCCGGAGGGAGGGCGAGAGAGCCCTGGGATCGTCTGACCCGGGTCAATTCCGGAGGGGAAAAAACACACACAGACACAATTAATCGTCGATCCTGGGAAAATATGGGGAAATATGGGAAGTGGGGGGGAAGACAAAAACCCAGAAAATATAAGAAAATGTGGGGAATCCGATTATTTGTGTGTACTTATTTGTGTGTCCCAGGGCCCCTTCATCAATCCAGATCCAGGTCTGTCAAGCTTTGCATGGTCCTGCAGGATCCTGCGCCCAAGCCCAGGTTAATGCGACCCTGGCCCTGCAAGGTCCTGCAAGCAACGGCGCTCTGACTGACGCCTGGTTGCATCGACACCCGCCTCTTAAAGCCCCGCAGAGCGAGAACGGATGTCCATCCGGCCCTATAGATCGCAGGGCCGCGCCCGTGTACGGCGCGGGCGGGACGGGTCGGGGCGGGACGGGCCCGCGCGGGCGCAGCCGCCGCGTCAAGACGCCGCGAACCGACAACGACGACGACGACGACGACGACGACGACGACGACGACGACGACGACGACGACGACCCTGGCCACTCCCCGCCTCGGCGGCGCGGCGCGCAGGAGGGGCGGCCGGGGGCGGTGGGCGGAGGAGGGGCCTCCCCGGAGGGGGCGGAGGAGGGCGGCCTGGCGAGAGGGCGGAGGGGGCGGAGAGGGCGGAGGGGCGGAGAGGGCGGAGAGGGCGGGCGGAGGGGGCGGAGGGGGGCGGAGGGGGGGCGGCCCTGGCGAGAGGGCGAGAGGGGGCGAGAGGGGGGCGGCCTGAAGGCAGGGAGCGCCTCCAAGAGGCCCGCCCGCCCTCTCAGAAGGCCCGCCGCCCTCGCCGTGCCTTCCCCTCTCCCCCCCGCCTCTGTGCGCGTTCCGCTGAGGCGGAGAGGACCAAGACTTCGGTCGTACAGGCGCATTTAGGAAGAAGAGCGAGCAATTGTCAAAGCATGTTCCAAACTAGACAAACATAGTAGAAGAATCGTCCCCAGACTATTTTTTGAATATTTCTGAATCTTCCTCCTGTAGAGGGCCACGCCGGACTTAGATCCATACCTCCGATGACTCGATGTCTTCGAGCCTCTGGGCCACGGTCCTCTTGACTTCTGCCTGGAGGCACCTCCTGTTTGCTCGTTCGCTTGTCTCTGCTTTCATTGAGGCCCCGCCCGCCCGCGCCCTGTCTCCCCAATCAATGCTTCGCGCGCCCCGCCTAGCTCTTAACCGGAAGGGACCCGCTCCCGACCCGCGACCAAAAATTGTTTCTGCTTTCGTGCGCAATTCGCTTCAACGGTATCCCCGTTTCGATCGCTCTTTCGCCAGCGCAGTGACTCTGCCTAGCCACCGACGAAAAAGAGAAAATTTTGCTGTCGCCCCGAGCATCTTCTCGACGGTCCCGGCCCGGGGCCTGGCAAGGCCCTCCAGCAGCAGGAGATAACCAAACGCACCTCGTCGTGAGGGGGGGCAGGGCCTGGGGGTGTAACGTCGGCACCAAGATCTGTCCGTGAGCGCGTTCTGGCCAGAATCCCGCCAGTCCTCCGGGCGTAGGTGGCTTAGTGAGTTCGTTCTCCCCCTTCTTCTCCTTCGGGGAGGGGCTTACCTAGAGGCCTCCTAGATGGGGTCCGAGTAGTAGATGGGGTCGAAGGATCGCGCCGCATCGCCAATGCATCGGCGACGTCGGCGATGCATCGGCGACGTCGGCGTGGGGAAACACGGTCTCCACATCGAGCCACATCGTCGATGCATCGGCGATGCGGCGCGATCCTCCGACCCCATCTACTCCGACCCCTTCTAGGAGGCCTAGATTACCACTGCTCCTTATCAGTAAACTCCCCCTGTCCAGGGTCAACGCCGATCCCACCCACCACCCCTGTCAACGACAGCAGCAGTGCAACATTCACCATGCGGCAACATCCGGATCATGCTCGGGCGCCTCGCGGTCACTTTGTGATGCTCTTTGACCGGGGCGGCGGGGGGGGGGCATCAGATGGCCGCGCGTGTGCAGGCCCACCACCCCAATCAGAAGCCGACGGAACAGCACCTTGGACCGTGCGCGGGCGCCCCACGATGCTTTTGCATGGTATCTGACAGGGGTGGCGGGGGCGCCCGCGTAGGGTGTGGTCTGCGCGGGCCCACCCAAGCAGACGACTGCAAAGTGCCTGCGGGTGCACGCGCCGTACACCACGCTGACCACCCCGTCGCCACTTCCCGCTGCCTCTTGACAATGGTGGTGAGGGGTTGACATGTTTCTCGATGCGTACGGTCACGTGGCGGGCTCCGGAACCCCTGAACCCGAGAATGTTGCAATCTCTTGGAGGCTCATCTTTAACATCCGCACTGCTGCGGCGTGAGGGCGGGTGCGCGAGACGGCTGCCCTCCCGGGGGCAGCTCGACCCCTCCCCCGTCCCCCGTCCCCGGGGCCTGGGCGGCGCCTCCCGCGAGGCTTCCGAGGGGTTCGTTTTTGGCCCAGGGGTGGCTCCAAGAGGGCCCCAGAGAGCCCAGGATGGCCTCCAAGATCGGTCAAGATAGCCCAAGGTATATTTTTTCTGGATGGCATCCAACATGCCTCCAAGAGGCCCCAATATCGCCCCAAGACAGCTCCAAATGGTGACGGATGCCTTCTCGCCTTCTCGTTTCCGGTGGGCTTGTGAGGCCTGGAGATAGCTCCAATGTGACCTAAGAGAGCCCAAGAGGGGCCTGTGGGGGCTCGAAGACGGCCGCAAGAACGCCCGAAGAGGCTATTTTTCGGCCTCCATCGGGAGGAGCGTAATTGAGAAACCCCCTTCTTTGATCGATGGCCTCCAAGATGGCCCCAAAAGAGGGACCCAAGGGAGCCCCAAGAGGGTCCGAAGAGAGCCAAACAGGCTGCCAAAATGGCTCCAAGATGCCCCCGATTTCGAATCCCACCAGCCCTTTGGGCGTAAGTGGTCGCGGGCGGTTTCTCTTCCAGCCCCCTTCTTCCCCTTCGGGAAAGGGCGTATCATTGTTTAATCTGCACCCCCTCCCCCACCCGGCTGGCGGCCAACCAGGAACCGTGCCAACCCCATAGGGCCACCTCTCCACCATCCCACCTCCACATTTGGAGCATGCGCGGCCAACCCGATGCGCCCTCCCCCCCCACCCCTGTCAAAAAACAATACAACATACAATTCGGGGCACAGTCTTGAGTCATGTTCGTGAGGCCCGCATTCACTTTGTTTTGTTTTTGACAAGGACGGCGGGGTTGTCAGCATATTCCCTGCTGTGCGCAGGGCTACCATCCGTGACAAAAAACAATACAACATGCACCTCGCGGCTAAATCTGGATCATGCGCGGCCACCCCGCGATCACTGTCAAGTGGTTTTTGACAGGGACGGCGGGGGTGGTGGCGCGGGGACTGCTGTGCGCAGGCCCACCAGACACAATGATGGGCATTGGTTTTCGACAAGGATGGTGGGGGCCGACATGTTTCGCGATGTGCGCTGTCACGTGCGCAGGCGCACCTTACGCACTCTGCAAGTGCCCCGAACGTGGCGCACCTGGCGCGGCCGGAGTTTGCGGCACACCTGGCGCACTCGGAGCACGTGGCGCATCTGGCGCACCAGGCGTGCCTGGCACGCTCGGGCCCCAGGGGTGCCTGGCGCGCGTGGCGCCCCTGGCACGCGTGGCGCACCTCGCCCAAGCGTCGCGCACCTGGGGTCGGCCTTGGTTCCCAATAGCGGTCCATCCAAAGACGACCGCTGAACATGGTCAGGCTCGGGTGTTACTTATATGTTGGGAGGGCGGGTGGGAGTGAGCTAGACGGCTTGCGGGCGGGTGAGTAGCTCGACCCCTCCCCCTCCCCCCTCCCCTGGACCTGGAGGGGGAGGTTCGCGAGGCGTTGGAGCGTCCACGATGGCCCAAGATGGCTCCAAGAGGGCCTCAGAGAGCCCAAGATGATCTTCAGGATGGGCCAAGATAGCCTCAGATGGCTCTAGATGGCTCCCAAGATGTTCCTAGAGGCCCCAAGACCGCTCCAAGACGGCTCCAAGTGGCCACGGAACCTCCCCAGGAGACCGCCAAGAGTCCAGAATCCTTCAACACCTGAGGGAAATCAACGAATTTGGCCTTCGCGCCCTTTTGCCTTCGATGTTCTTCCGAGGCCCCAAGATGGCTCCAAGAGGGCCCATAAGGGCTCCAAGAGAGGCCCAAGATAGCTCCAAGACGGCTCCAAGAGGGTCCAAGAAGCGAATTTAGGCACTTTAGCATTCAGTACCAAGAGCGCACCCCAGGCTCCCAAGAGCACCTCAACGAGGGCCTCAAGAGGCGCCAAGGAGGCCCTAATATGCCCCCAAGAGGCTCCCACGAGACCCCCAAGAGGCCCTGAAAGGCTCCCCAGGGCACCCAAGACGCTCTAAGAGGCGCCCAGGACCGCCAAGAGGCTCTCAAGACGCCCCAATAGGCCCCCGAACTCGCCATTTCCCTCTTCCTCTTCCTCGTCTTCTCCTTCTCCTCCTCCGCCTATTCCTCTTCCTCCCCCTTTCCTCCTCCCCCTTCCCCTCCTCCTCCTCCTCCTCCTCCTCCTCCTCCTCCTCCTCCTCTTCCTTCTCCTCCTTCTCGCCCTCCTCCACTTTCTCCTCCTCCTCCTCGTCCTCTTTCTTCCTCCTCCTCCTCCTCCTCCTCCTCCTCTTCCTCCTTCCTCCCCCTCTTGGTGTACGACGGTTTCTCCAGCTCTTCGTTCCTCTGTGTGCTCCCCCACTTCTCTGATCAGGGCAACTCGTCTGGGCATCGT